CAAGTGTGTGGGTGGCAAAAGTGGCACAGGAAAGAGGGCTTCTTCCAGGCGAGAGGGGGAGATTCACAGAAGGTTTGGAAGGGGAGGGAAGTGATGTTTCCTGGGCTTCCTATGTGGTAGCCACAAACCACAGGTGGCTTTTAAATGTTAGTCAAAATTGAATTTCATTAAAAATTTAGTTCCTGTGAGCCCCGTTTCAAGAGCTCAGTAGCTACCTGTATACGGTTGTCCCTTGCTATCTATAGGAATTGATTCCAGGACCTGCTTCCCCTCATACCAAAATCTTGTTAGACTCTAATAAAGTCTCTGATATAAGATGACTTAGCCAGATGGGGTGACCCAACCTGCAATTCCAGTAACTCAGGCGACTTAGGCAGGAGGACCACAAGTTCCAGGCCAGTCTGTGCAGTATAGGGACACCTTGTCTCAAAATAAAAAATGTAAATGTAGCCCAGTACTAAAGCACCCCTGGGTTCAAGCCCCAGTACTATAAACAAAAATAAAAACAAAAACAAACAAACAAAAAAAGGCTTAGTGTTTGCATATAACCTATGCAATATACTCTCCCCCCTCCCCCCAGAACTGGGGATTGAACACAGAGGCACTTTAACTGAGCTATATCCCCAGCCTAGCCTTTTTTTTTGGAAACAGGGTCTCACTAAATTGCCCAGGTTAGCCTTGAATTTGCAAGCCTCCTGACTTAGCCTCTCAAATAGCTGAGATTACCCTAGTGAGCCACTGTGTCCAACCTCTTCTATACTTTAAATCATCTCTAGATGACTTACAGTAACTAATACAATATAAATATTATGCAAATAGTTGCTATTCTGCATTATTTAGGGAATAATGACAAGAAAAATGTCTGTTCGAGTTCAGCACAAACCCAATTTTTAGGGGGCTGTTGTACTGGGGATTGAACTCAGGGGCACTTGACCACTGTATTTTGTATTTTATTTAGAGACAAGGTCTCACTGAGTTACTTAGCACCTTGCTTTTACTGAGGCTGCCTTTGAACTCACGATCCTCCTACCTCAGCTTCCAGAGTTGCTGGGATTACAGGCATGTGCCTGGCCACAATTTTTTTTTTTTTTAATATTTTTGGTCCACATGATCGAATCCTCAGATGTGGAACCCACACTATGGAGGGAAGACTGTATTCTAGAACATTTTCAACTTTGTAGAAAGTTCTATCGGAAGATGCTGGTCTAGGCTTTGGCCTCCCAGTGCCTCACATATGCCTTACCACTGAGCCACAACCCCAGCCCTTCTGTTTGCATATTATATGGATAACTTCACAGAAATGGTGTGTGCTACACATACTGCTTTGTGAGTGTCAGACTGTCTCCTGTGTCACAGAGCCCTTCAGAGGTAAGGCCTATTATAGCCAGCCCTGCATCAATCTTCCCTTCAATGACTGTGGACTGTTCTAGATTTGTGTGTGTGGCAAAATCTACATAATATGAAATTTACAATTTTAACTACTAAGTAGTTAGTTCAGTGACATTAAGTGCATTCACATGGATTTGTTGTTTGTTGTGCTGGAGGTTGAACCCAGGGGTACTGAAATACATTCCTTGTCTTTTAAAAAAAAAATTGAGATAGGGTCTCACTAAGTTGTAGAGGCTATCCTTAAATTTGCCATCCTCCTGCCTCAGCCTCCCAGTCACTGGGTTATAGGCACACACCACCACATCCAGCTAAACATGCTTTCTTTTTTTTTTTTCTTTTTCATTTTTAATACTGGAGATTAAACCCCAGAGGTGCTCTACCACTGAGCCACATCCCCAGCCTTTTTTATTTTTTGAGACAGGGTCTTACTAAATATCCAAAGCTGTCCTCCAACTTGCGATCCTCCTGCYTCAGCCTTCCAAGTCCTGGGTTTACAAATATATGTGTACCATGCCTGGCTTGATTTCCATTCCCGAATTACAGGAGTTCTTCGTATCTTCTGCATGGTTTGCCAATGTGATTTCCACTCCAGAGGTTGCCTTTTTTGCTCTGCTGACAGTGTCCTTTGGTGATGAAAAGTTTTAATTTTTTTTTTTTTTTGGTACCAGGGATTGAACCCAGGGGTGCCTAACCACCGAGCCACATCCCACCTCCCTAATTTGCTGAGGCTGRCTTTGAATTCATAATCCTTCTGCCTAGCCTCCAGAGTCACTGGGATTACAAGCATGTGCCACTGCACCTGGCCAAATTTTTAATTTGGATGAAGCCCAGTTTACCTATTTTTTTCTTTTATTGCCTGTGCTTTTGGTGTCATATCTAAGAAATCAATGCCAAATCCAACTACATGGAGTTTTCCTCCTGAGTGTTCTTCTGAGAGTTGTGTGCTTGTGGCTCTTYGGTGGAGGCCTTAGATCTATTTGAGTTCATTTTTGGATTGATTTAATCTGAAACATGAAGGAGAGGATGTGGAGTATCCTCTAGAGCATGTGTCCTCCAATAGCGGTTCCACCTTCCGTAGCCCCTGGGGTAGAATCACAGCAATCTGTACATGAAAAACCACTAGACTTCCAGAGAAAGAGAAACTTCTCTGAAAGAGAAGGCTCGCAATCATTTGCCTTCCAGCTAATTCTACAGAGAGAGGCAAGTTATTTGACAAGTCAGGATGTGGAAAAGAAAGCAGTTACTGTTAGTCATGTGGGGAAAAGGGAAGAACTTGCATTTAGAAGAACTACTGCCCCTTCTGATAACACAGAATGAGGAGGACTTACCATGGGAACTGGGGCGGGACAGGTCTGACGCCCTGGGTTCCATCCCCAAGCACTGAAAAAATAATATTTGCCATTTGGTGAAATTTCCAGGCTGAGCACCTGAAGGTCTGCAGTGTTACTCACCTGGACTCTTCTTGAGTGTGACAGCCTACAGTGGTTACTACCCCAATAGTTAACTCCTCAGAGAACCCCAAAGTTCATGGAGGGAAGGTAGCTGTTAGGAGCTCTCAGAAAGCTCATCCAGGTCCCTATTCTAGGCCCCTCTTGCCAAGAGCATGGGACTTGTCTTCAAGAAGTTCATGGCTGGCCTTGGTGGTGCACACCTGTCATCCCAGCGGCTCTGGAGGCTGAGACAGTAGGATTGCAAGTTCAAAGCACGAGTTCAAGCAAAAGCGAGGTGCTAAGCGACTCAGTGAGACCCTGTTTCTAAATAAAATACAAAATAGGGCTGGGATGTGACTCAGTGGTTGAGTGCCCCTGAGTTCAATCCTCTGTACCAAAAAAAAAAAAAAAAAAAAGAGAAGAAGAAGAAGAAGAAGAAGCTGCTCATGGATGAGTGGGGAACTAGGTGTAGGCAAATGTTCGGTGAGCACAAAGGCCTTTGTGTGTCAATCCAAGGAATGTGACTTTCAACCTAGAACAGAGGTGACAGACCCAAAAGCCAATAGAGACCAGGAATGTAAATTAAGGGGGGCCAAGCAKATCTAAGGTAATGGGGAGTGGTGGGGACAGTGGCAAACTGCAGAACTCATGCTCTCAGAGGGCAGCTACTCTTGGCTCCAGCTGGTTGACACCAGGTAGGATCGATCATTGGTCCACTGTGGCAGATCTTCCAATTTTCTAAAAGGCAGAAATCCAGGCTTCCATAGGACAATCCTAGGTTTTCTAAACACACAGGCCAAGCCAAACTGGTGTTTGCACCCTGTGTGGCCCACAGGTCACTCATCTGYCGCCTTGACAGATACGGGATAAGGATTAGAGAGAATAGGCTAGAGGAAGAGGAACCAGCCAGGAAAGTCAAAGTTTCCAAGTCCAGGTGGGAGGAAGCTCTTKGTATTCAGTTGCAAAATGTAGCTCTCTGCTAACCTCTGGAAGAAGCTGCTTGCATTCTTCCAATGTACCCTCCAATCCCACACCCACCCCCTTTCCTAAATGGGAGCAGAAAGGCACAGGGCAGAGAGAGAATCCCTAAAGTCAAAGGGCAGGAAATTTCGGCAAAGACTCCAGTTTCTCAGCACAGTCTAATTTTACCCAAGATGATTTTAGAGATAGATCCTTGACCAACTCCCCCAGTCCCCGTCCTCCCACACCCACAGGCTCAGCAATAATTAAAATAAAAAACGTTCATATCGTGGYGTTTGGCTCTTCTGAGCGACCAAGCTCAGAGCCAAGTCTGGCTCCACAGAGGCGTCTCCTGGAGACAGACATGGAAGTGGGCTTCAGGTCCATTTCATGGTCTTGCTGGTTGTGCAACTGGTCACTTGGCTTCACAGAAGCAAGCAATGGGTAGGGAGGTGGGGAGGAAGGGGAGGGAGAGTGACCCCCTCCAAAGAATTTTTCTAACACCCAACGAATGTCATATGTTTAGACCTTTTTTTCCTGTATAGACCCTCCCAATTTTTGAGTGCTGTTTTTGGGAGTGGGCACAGGAAGTGCCTCCGAGCAGCTGCAGAGCAGAGCCTCCCCTCTCTGGCATGGCCTGGAGTGTCCCATGGGATGGAGGAGAGGACGGGGCAGTCAGGCAAAGGTTAGGGGAGGAAAGCAATGGCAGAGGCTCAGACTGACTCCAGGAAATGTTTGTATTTCTCCACCAGGAGGGAGGACAAACAAGCGTGTCCCTGCCTTCTGGGCCAGTACTGTGAGCTCTCCAGGACAGAGTGAGTCGCAGGAGAAAGAGGAAGCCGAGTATGAAAATTCTTTTGGGGCTGCACTCAGCAACTCCTCTGCAGCACGAATCTCATGGGACCCTCTGGCCACTTCCCACCTACAAGATATCGCATGCATCTCGGAGTCTGGCCGAGCTACAGGCTTCACCTCTCTGGAAGACAAGCRGCTTGTAACCCCAGCTTCTTAGAAAGGACCTCCCTGTGGCTTTCGTTTCCTGGCTGATTTCTCCTCCGGGTGTGGTAGCCCCATCTACCCCTGGGTGCCGTGACTGATTGTCAAGGTGATGAGGTTGAAGGCACAGCCACTGGGTCAGTGGTAGCACACAGATAAGCACCTGTTCCTTGGTGGGGACTCCAGGGGCCACTGGGCACCCCGGACATCTGTCCTCCCTGCACTATGGACAACAGGTCATGCTGCCTCCTTGAGGGGGACCTCATCTCTCAGCTGATGCCACCCCTGCTCATACTGGCCTTCGTGCTCGGCGCCCTGGGCAATGGGATTGCTCTGTGTGGTTTCTGCTTCCACATGAAGACCTGGAAGCCGAGCACCATTTATCTTTTCAACTTGGCCGTGGCTGATTTCCTCCTCATGATCTGCCTACCCTTCCGGACAGACTACTACCTCAGAGACAGAAACTGGGCCTTTCAGGATCTTTCCTGTCGCCTGGTGCTGTTCATGCTAGCCATGAACAGAGCCGGGAGCATCGTCTTCCTGACAGTGGTGGCCGTGGACAGGTATTTCAAAGTGGTCCACCCCCACCATATGGTGAACACCATCTCGAACCGGACCGCAGCTGGCACCGTCTGCGTCCTTTGGACCTTGGTCATCTTGGGAACTCTGCATCTTTTGATGGAGAGCCACCTGTGTCTACAGAAGAATGCCACGTCTTGTGAGAGCTTCATCATGGAGTCGGCGAACGGCTGGCACGACATCATGTTCCAACTGGAGTTCTTCCTGCCTCTGGGCCTCATCGGGTTCTGTTCCTTCAAGGTGATCTGGAGCCTGAAGCAGCGGCAGCAGCTGGCCAGACAGGCTCGGATGAGGAAGGCTATCCGCTTCATCATGGTGGTGGCCGCTGTCTTCGTCACTTGCTATTTGCCCAGCGTCCTGGCCAGACTGTATTTCATCTGGACRTTGCCCTCCAGCGCCTGCAACGCGTCTGTCCATGTGGCCCTCCACTTCACCCTCAGCTTCACCTACATGAACAGCATGCTGGACCCCCTGGTGTATTATTTTTCAAGCCCCTCGTTTCCCAAATTCTATACCAAGCTTAAAATCCATCATTTGAGACCCAAGCAGCCAGGACCCTCAAAGTCACAGAGGATGGAGGAGATGCCAACTTCTGACCTCTGTCGTAAGAGTTGCGGCAGCGTGACAAATAGTGTCCAAAGCCAGCCAGATGTTCAGGGGGACCTCCAAGTGTGTTGAATGGCACTAAAACAAACAGGCCASCAACGTCAAGGAGGTCAGACAGCCACTTTGAGTTAATTCAAGCTCAGGGGTGGGGGAACCTTGAAAATGCTACCACCCCTTCTTAGCTGTATCTTTTTTACTCTGTTGGAAGTGAAACCCACGTTCCTCTACCTTTGGGGAAGGTTCCAGTCGGTGGAAGTGAGTGTGTTGCGTTTGTGTAATCTGATTACAGTGATAGGGGACAGGATGGGCATGTGTGTTGGTTAGGAATTGCTCAGCTCCTGTGTAATTTTAAATGGATGAGGATACAGGTATGAATCATTACTGGGTCATGTTCTTGCTCTGGGGGGGAGTTATTGAACTTAATGATGTATCACTATTTCCTATTCTTTGACCTTAAACCCTTACTTATTTTGAAAAAAAGGAACTGAGCTGAGTCAATAAATAAAATAAAAGGAACTGAACTTTTATTTTAGGCTGAGAGAGGCTCTTTAAATCAGGATGTCTTGGTTCTGATGATTTTCATCTCCTTTTGGGCCCCTCTGTATATTTCTTTGTCAATGTCTTGACTTCCAGGTAGCCCAAGAAGGTGCTAAAGGACAGGCACCTTCCCTGGTTTCCCCAGGGCTTGCTGAGAGTTTGAAAGCCTGCTGTCCTTTCGAATGTGCCAAATCCAGCATAAGTGCTTTTGACTGCTTGTTATGTACGTGTGGATTGAAATCATTCTTTCTTTCTTCTTCAAATATTTACTGAATTTGAATTTAGTATCGGACATCTGYGTCCCTTGTGCCTGGAGGGTTATTACTCTACTCTTGCGTGCCAGCAGTTTTGGGAGCAGCAGCGATGTGTAAGACCCTCACCCTTTCACTGAAAATCGTTTCTAGACCATGCAAACATCACARTTTTTCTCTCACGGTGGCTCTAGCTTGTGCATAAGGTGTTTCCAAATAGGTTTCTGGAACCCTCAAAACCAGATGATTCTGTGAAATGACAGGCTGCTCCTCCCTTGAGTTAAGGGAAGGGAATCCAGGCCAAACACAGCTCTCTTCCCAAGCCACAAAGTGGTGAAAGTAATTCTCTATTCCTCCACTTACACCGGCTCTAATTCCCAGGGTAGTCTCCCCACTTAAGGACTTTGCCAACATTTCGTTCTTTAGCCTGAAAAGACCCGGGAGAGACTGGCTTATTACTTCCTTCTTCAGAGGCGCTGCACAGCCTGGCAATCAAAGGAACAATCTGTAGAGAGTCTGACGGATCTAATTTTGAATCCCAACTCAGCTACTTCGTAAACATGTGATTCTGGGGCAGATTTTAAACTGCTTTCAACTTCAATTCCCTTATCGGTCAACAGGGTTAACAATAATAATGACCTTCAGGAACTGGGGTTGTGGCTCAGTGGTACAGCACTCACCTAGCATGTGCAAGGTGCTGGGTTTGATCCTCAGCACCACATAAATAAATAAATAAATAAATAAATAAATAAATAAATAAATGTATTGTGTTCAACTACAACTAAATAGAAATTTTTTTTTTTTAAAAATAACGACCTTCAAAGGGTCATTGGACAGATTCAATGAATTCAATCCTGAAGCACAAGGACTTTATTCACCGTTATGTCCCCAGTGCCTAGAAGAACACCTGCACATAGTAAGTGCTCAAAAAAATAATTGTTGAATGAGTGCATGAAGAAGCACATATGAATCACGAAGCTCTATGTCTGCCAATAAGTGCTCAATGCTATGATTTATTCCCTGAATACATTTTATATATAAAGAAACTGAAGCCGGGTGTGTTGGCGCATGCCTGTAATCCCAGACAGGAGGATGGAGAGTTCAAAGCCAGCCTCAGCAACTTAGAGAGGCACTAAGCAATTCAGTGAGACCCTGTTTCTAAATAAAATACATAAAAGGGCTGGGGATATGGCTCAGTAATTTAGTGCCCCTAAGTAGTTCAATTCCTGATAGGAAAGA